CCCGGCCCTTGTGCAGCCCGCTGCCTTTGCAGCCTGGCCCAGCTTGTCTTTCGCAGCTGCAGAAAAAAGGGCCGGGTGCCCCCCTGAATGCCCGGCAGCTCCCGGTGCGACAGTGTTCACGGAGCTTCCTGGCAGCAGAGAGGGACGCCGCAGCGGTGGCGGTCCAGGGAGGATGCCACGCGCAAGGATGTCTCGTTTAGGGGACCGACCGCTGGGCTGGGATAGAGCCAGAGCAGCCATCCAGGGTGAGACGCTGTCCCCCGCGTGCGGCTGTCACTTGCCACGTGGTGCTGCTTACCCAGCCTCAGGGCGCATTGATGCAGTCATAGATGCGGATAAAAGGGCTGGTTGTATCCAGGATGCAAGTTAAAGGGCAGCTGGGTGGGATTGAGCCCCCCCATAAGAAACAAAAGCCCCCTGTGTAAGATGTGAAAATCATAACCTGGGGGGGGGAGCCTCTGGTCAGATTGCTCCTTCACTTAAGTGGACTTGCTAATCAATTAACCAGTTTAATTATTTTTTTTTTTTGCAGACCCCCCTCAAGAGTCGAAGTGTAATTCGAACCCTGGTTGCATCTGTAAAAGCATCTATACACCCATGATCTGCTGGCCCCCTGTGATCAACACCCTATGGCCGTGTAGGTGGAACTACGTGGCAAGTCACAGCTGAACCTGGGGAAGAACATCTTGCATTGGAAAGCTGATCTTGCGCTATCCCAGCTATGCAACTGGTCCTGTAAAAGGCATCACCCAACAAAGTCCTTGCCTCCGTGTTAAACAACTGTAATGGTAGCTTAAGAGGGATGTTGTAGCCGTGATGGTCCAGGAATGATGCCACATGCAAGGATTTCTTAGGGTGATGTCATTTATGGGACTATATTACGTAGCAGGGATAGACCGATACCAGCCTTCCAACGTGAGACACCCTTCCCCATGTCCAGCTGTGACTTCCATTTATCCAGCCACAGGGTGTATCAGTGTATTTACAGATGTGGAAAAAAGGGCTGGTTGCATCTATAAATTTATCAATACACCTAGTGATTGCCCCCCTCCCACTTCATAGGGTGATGCCTTTTGTGGGACCAACTGCATAGCTGGGATAGAGTGAGAGCAGCTTTCTAATGCAAGACAGTTTTTCCCAGGTCCAGCTGTAACTTGCCACATGGTTCCATCTGCCTGGCCACAGGGTATACTGATGCATTTACAGATGTGGGGGGAAAGGTCTGGTTGCTGGGGTAAAAAACCCTGCTCATACCCAATTCACTCATTCTTTCAGCATTCACTGTCTGCCCCTGCATGACACAGGATATGGGGCAAGATGGACTTGTGTTCTGAGCCAGTAAATAGCAGTCCTTACGTGACAGTCCAGAAATGATATGAGACGCAAGGACTTCTTAGGGTGATGTCTTTTATAGGACCAACTGCATAGTTGGGATAGAGTGGGACCAGCTTTCCAATGCGAGACCTTCTTCCCCAGGTCCAGCTGTAACTTGCCATATGGTTGCACCATAGCCAGACTCAGGGTGTGTCAATGCATGTATAAATGCAGAGAAAAGGGATTGTTGCATCTATAAATGCATCTTTACACGGAGTGATCATCTTTCTGTGACAGTGTGAAGCAACTGTAATGGCAGCGTAAGAGTGAGACGATGTAGCCATGACGGTCCAGAAATGATGAGTGGCAAGGACTCTGTAGGGTGATGTTTTTTAGGGGACGACCTGCATAGTTGCAAGAGAGCAAAACCAACTTTTGAACATAAGACACTTCCTGAAGTCGAGCTGTAACTTACCATGTGGTTCCACTTACTCGGCCTTTCTCAGCCAGGTGCTTTTAGCTATCTGGGACAGCTGCACTTCTTGAAGAGTGTCTTTGTGTTTCCACTATAGCTGTGCTTTGTAACAAGTAGCCTATGAGTCCCAGCATGCCCTCTGCCAGCAGAGATCAGCACAATTCAGCTCTTCTTCAGCTTGTATCTGTGTAATTCTAATCTTGAGCAGCTAATCGTAATTGCCCTTTGTTAATATTGTGACTGTAAGATTTATAATGATATTCCCACTTGTGCTCTCTTCATTGAAGTGCTATTTTGGTTCGGTTTCCTAGGGTTTACAATGAACTGACAAGTGTTTTACCATCCATACTTCAGAATTGCATGCATGTCTTGCCTTCTCCTCTTTCACTCTTTAAAATCCATCAGTATTGCAAGTTGACTCACTTTACTGCTTTGCCATATCTCCGTTGTGCTGTGCTGTGCTGTGCTGTGCTGTGCTGTGCTGTGTTGGCTTTGTCTTTTCCTACCTGGCACTTCTCAGAACTTGAAAAGCAGATACAATGAGATCAGCTAGCTCCATTTTAAATTCATAAATCAAGAGGTGATAATCTGGTATCAATTAACACAGATCATTTTCTCAATTATAATATTACTCTGTGTTGCTTTAAAAGCAAGAGGCATTACATGAATCAGTTTTGTAGATCCTCTTCATAAGCAGAAAAGAATGTGCCTTATGACGCATACAAGATGAATTTTAACTGGAGCACAGTGATAACCAGATGACTATGCCAACCCACATGGATACCTAGGATGTTCATGCTTGTTGAAATCAATATGCCTCACTACATAATACACTGGTACTTGATTTTAAACTTTCTGATAAACAACAACAGGACTTCTAATACAAATAAGTATTAAGGAAGGTGATAAAATTGGACCGTCTCAAATTTATTTTAGGGTTAGATTTAACAAAAGCATAAACACTCAAGGAATTTCATGAATGCATTTCTGAATATTTGCTCCTTTTAGTAGTATTTAATACTTCTGGATATGTTTGTATGAAAAGTAGGGTTTCCATGACAAGTGGCAGGGACATGGACTACATAGATCAAAGGGTATTATTTTTTTCTTTGAGTATAATGGCAGTCAAAATTCATATTCAGACTTAATACTTCTGACCAATGGAAGGTTAGGAAACAGTAGGAATATTTAGCAGGACAGCATGAAAGATACATTCACATAGAAAGGAGACTGTAGTAATTTGTGATTGTTACCAGGCTCACTTCTGAGAATCTCAGTTATAAAATATTTTGTTGAAAGGCACAGGTAACATTAAATACCATTTTGTAGTATGACACACTAGTGTTTCCTTTAGATGTTTTGACAACCATGACTTAGATTTTTCTAAACCTTAACATGTCTCACTTTGACAGGTGTTCCTTTTTTAATAACCTTTTCAACATCTTTGCATGTTCAAATAGAACATCAAGTCTTATATTCTAAATTCCATTACTAAAATTCTCTTTAACTCATTGGCCTTTTTCAAGAGTCTTTTACAGAAACATTTTGCGCTGTCATTTCTGTAAATCGAGATGTCTAATTTCTTAAGTCAAGACACTTATTTCTGTAGGCAGCATGAATTTATTTTTAGCAAGGAAACTTGCTAGCTTCTAGGAGCAAATATTTCTCACTCTTAATTTGCCAAGTAAAATACATTTGGACTAAATGCCTGATGCTTTTCACCAGTAGCTTACATGGGTATACGCTTATATACAGTATGGTAGAACATCATAGTCCCAGTACTTAAGACAGATGGCAAACTGGTTTTTGAGAATCCCTGTATTGTAATTCCGTTTGTGTTGTTCATAAACCTGAAATAGAATTAGCTGTTAAAAACTTTTCACTTGGTACTCATGCCTGATAAAACTGAGCACATCTTTACTAAAATATGGTTACCTCTCCATGTACATTTTGGTACGTGTGTCTCAGAAAAAGCTCTTAGAAATGTGTCTACAGGTTTTGTAAGGTAGCTTTCTGACTGAGCATTTTTAAAGGAATGAAAATCCAGAACTGATACTTACAATACCTTGCACATTTTTCTGTGTAGTCCAATATGGGGCATCTTTAAGATGTATTTCTTAAAAACTACATTACATCTTTTAGAAGGACTCTTCACACAATATTGTCCAAAGGCAATTTCCTGCTTTATATTATGAAAAGCAGTCTCTATGTCACTGTTGTATTTGTATGATTATGTTTTCTTCATATGATTATCTAGGTGTTCTTTGACGTGAAGATTGGCGAGAGAGATGTTGGCAGAATTGTAATCGGATTGTTTGGAAAAGTTGTCCCAAAGACTGTTGAGAACTTCATTGCCTTGGCAACTGGTGAAGTATGTTTATTGTTTCCTCTCTCATTTAGCAAAATGACATCTCAGTTGTTAACTGTTTTAGTTCAGTGTTTTCACCCATTTTTCATTCTGTGAATAAATCTGAGAGAGAGAGAACCATCTAATGGGCCCAGCTCTTCTGTCTATATTTCTGACTCCTTCCAGCTCTGTGATCAATTCATATGAGGGCAAATAAGGGTCTCTTGAACTATGAGGAATTTTGTAAATTGTCCTTGTTAAAGCAGAAGCAAAATTGCTATCATCATCCTGTAAATAAACTGCCTCTTTAATCCATGATTTTTGAGCTACACAGCATAGCTGTAGTAAGCACTAATTCATTTTTGCTTCATGTCATTTTTTATGTCTTTCTATGGTACTAGTAGGGCTGTGATTCGCAATATACCTAGTACAAAAGTAATCTTTTAAAGTTCTTTGATTTTGTTTATATAATGTAAAACTCTTAACATTTAAATTGATTGCCTCTTTCCATGTGCCACAATACATGTCCTGTGTAGAAAATCAAATGTACTTGTTTGGAACTTTGTTCATTTTCTTAGAAAGGATATGGGTACAAAGGAAGTAAATTTCATCGCGTGATCAAAGATTTTGTGATTCAAGGTGGAGATTTCACAGTTGGAGATGGAACTGGAGGTATGTGCTTATTGTTCAGCTCTCCTCTTCCTAGTAGGTTTGGATGAAAGAATGAACAAAACAATATTTCCACTTCTCAACTCAGCTAAAATGGATGTAGGTTGTAGGCTACAGAAGCATTTACTTTGGGAGTTCAGGGCCTCCTCAGCCTGAGAAGATTCAAATACAAATATTCTATTTCACATTAGTGTTACAACCATCAGGCTGGAGGATAGTCTGTCTGAGGTACCCTCCACCCTTCCTTCTTTAAAAAGTTAGGCTCTTGCGCAGCTATAGCAGGACAAGAATTCTGGGACTGGAAGGATAAGAGGCAAGAGGAGACTTTTTCCCGTAGCCTAGTGGTTAGGGCACTAGGCTTGGAAGGAATGGGAAAGACTTGTTCTCCAATCCCTGGTTCCTGGACTATGCATACATTTTACATTAGACAGTTATTGGATTCAAGAAGGAAATGTATGGGCTGAATTGTTCTGTTGCTGGTATACTCTTCTAAACTTGCTTTTGTTTTATGTCACAGGAAGAAGTATTTATGGAGAGCAGTTTCCGGATGAGAACTTTAAACTCAAGCACTATGGTATTGGATGGGTCAGCATGGCTAATGCTGGCCCAGACACTAATGGTTCCCAGTTCTTCATCACAGTGACAAAACCTTCCTGGTTAGATGGAAAACACGTAGTTTTTGGCAAAGTCATTGATGGAATGGTAAGTTGAAAACTGGTACATGAAAACAGATAAATCTGGCGAATTCATTTTTGTTTGAAACTCTCTAAATCCAGTTCAAACCATTGTCATGGAGAACAGAATTTGGTGTCCACCATTCTTCATCCAGGAAATAATTGTAAAGCACTTACACTGGAAATGTTATAGGAAACAGCAAATATTTGTTGAAGAAATGAAAGCTAAATAGTCTTTTTGGCTTCTAGATTTCCCCAGATAGAACACTAATCATTGGCTAGGAACAGACATTGGATTTATTCTTGGAAAGTTTGTGCCTGTTTATCCTGGAACAAAAATATCCTGGAACTGGTGCATAAGTACATTGCCCTTCTTATTAGGGTTTAGTGAGCAGCTAAATGCAGAGCCACTTTTTGCCATTGATTCAGTGATATAGTCCTGGGATAACTCTACAGACTTACTTTGCAATATCCTGGGATAAACGGTTACTTCCTTTTTAGGATTTAACCTGGGATAATGGACATGGATGTCTGTATACTTGGATATCATTGGGGATAAAATGGTTTTACAAAAGATGGCAGTAGTGGTGGTTTGCTATAACAAGAAATCTTTTATTCAATTGGGAATATGAAGAATTTATAAAACAGAATTTATGAAGAATTAATACTTTAATAAATGCTTCATATTCACAGTTGAAAAAAAGATTTCCTTGAATAATAAAATGAAAGACTCCTAGGCTCAGCCCCACCAGAATGTTAGCTGTGCTTTTGGAACACATTTTGATGATTATCTGAGGGAAGTTAAGCACAGGGATAGTTACCTAAAGAGTAGGGCTGTGCAAAACTCTGGAAGCCGGTTCGATTGGGAGGAGACTTGGTCAGATTCAGCAGCCAAATCTCCGAATTGGGAGACTCATTAAAAGGTCTAAATCAAATCCAAAGCCTCCAAATAAGTCCAGAAAAGATTCAGAGATTCAGATCAGCCAGGGAGAGGCAGGCAAAGCCAGGTGGCTGCAGGTTCTGATGGGGCTCCTCTGGCTGTGCCTGCCTCTCCCTGGGTGGGGGTAGCTGCAGGAGAAGCCCTCATGGCTGCCCTGCCCGGCCCCATCCCCTGTCTGGCCCCAGCCTCCTGGCAGTTTAAAAGAAAAAAAGCCCCACACATACCAGGGGCTGTGAGGGCTCTGAGGTCTCCTGGCAGAGCCCCCCATGCAGCCCCCGCTCCCCGATCGCCCCCCCCACCCCTGCCTGGCCTCACCCCAATGGCTGTCCCGCCCAGCGCAACATCCCAGCAATTAAAAAAGCCCCGCACTCACCAGCTTTCGCAGTGGGGATCCGGGCTTCTGGGGGCTCATGGCAGAGCCCCTCTATGCAGTACGGAGCAGTGGGGGCAGCAGGGATCATCTCCCCCACCTGGCACCCTCGCAGTAGCTGCCCCATGGTGCAGGTTCAGCACAACTTGGCAGGGTGCTATGTGCTACCTAGGAGCTGGGACCACTGGGGCTGAGCAGTGCCAGGCTCTGGCTGACTGCTGGAGCCACCCCAACTCCCAGATAGTGCCCGCGTGCCAAGCAGGAAGGATGATCCTTATTGCCCTGTGCTGTGCAAGGAGGGCTCTGCCACAAGCCTTCAGAGGCCCTGAGCTCCATTGCCCGAGCTGGTGAGTGTGGGGCTTTTTTTTTTTTTTTTTTTTTT